TCTCTTGGCCGTGAGCCTCACCGGCCCAAGCCGTGAGCCGCCGCCGACCGCCCAAGCCACTGCCGTCGCCGCCGCTTGCCGTACATCGCCGCCGCCGCAAGCCGCCGTTAGATCTCGGGTTTTGCCGCCGCTTTCGCTCTAACCGCGATAGTTTAGAGCTAGGTAAGTTTATCCTAAACTTTATCTAGTATATCGGGTTGTTTCGGGCCTAGATAGACGCGGTTCGGTATGGTTTTACGGGCGAAGTTGATATGCGGGGCCTAGGATTGAATTTGGGGAGTTTTGACGAAAATTTTAGAGGCCAATCAATGCTGTGATTGCATGTTTGGTATGCTGTGAGGTGCTGTTGGAGACGCGGTTTGTACCGTTAAGTCCGGCTCGGGATTTCACGCAAGTGTCGTGAAGAGCCGGAAGTGTAATATTGTGATTTTGAGTGCAGAAAATACTGTTTGCTGGCTGTGATGTGCCGTGTGAAGTACTGTAGGTTGCTGTTGGGTGCGAGACGGGTACCATTAGGTCCGTCTCGGAATTCTGTGAAAGTCCCGTGAAGGACTGAAATTGATTTGAAAACGTTTGGGTATGGAAAAATGCGGATTTGTGCGCGAATGCACGTTTGTGATGCGATTATGTGGTTGTGGGTGCAATTGTGTGCAAGGAAATTAATGTGAACGTGTGTAAGTGCGAGAATGTGGGATCGGGCCGAGATATTATAAGCTCGGGTCGCGATCATGTAGGTCAGTCGCATTTGGCGCTGGCTGAGGTATGAGAAAGCGGGAAAAATTGAGATTGGCCCGAGGCACGACTAGCTCGGATGAGATCGGGATCGGGCCGAGACATTATAAGCTCAGGCTGTGATCACGTAGGCCTGTCGCATTTGGTGCGGGCTGAGGCAAGAAAGTGAATGTGGGATCAGGCCGAGACATTCTAGGCTCGGGCCTTGATCACGTAGGCCTGTCGCATTTGGCGAAGACTGAGGAAAGTGTGAACGTGGGATCGGACCGAGGCGTGTGATGCTCAGGGCGCGATCGAGTGGGCCAGAGGCGTGTTTACGCGGGCCGGGAAAGTGATGGAATGTGCGCGGGTACGATAAGAAAGAGAAATGGGAACGATGTGTTTGCGCGAGATCGAGCGTGAATTGTGGGGTTTGAATTATTGCGTGAGCGATGTATAATTGATTGAACATGAGAATTATATGTGGTCGTTGTGAACTAACGTGCAGGTTGCGTATGATGAGAGTCCGGATTAATGTGATTGTTTGATTGGTGTTTGTGTTGATTGCTTGATAGTGTGTCTATAAGTGTTTGGAATAACGTGGTAGCCTAGGTAGGGTTTAGGTTGCAACTTATTGAGAAGTGTCTCATGGTTGTATCAACCAAACCATTTCAGAGCCTCCGCCTGAGCCATGAACATATTGAGGCCGACTTGGAGCCGTTGGGTGAACAAACAGCTGAGGAGGATTCATGTGGTGATGCCGAGGACAGTGAGTCAGAGTGGACGCCTCCGAGAGGGCGTAGGGACTAGTTCTGAGAGCGAGGCAACAGTTTGAGAGTGTCCCATTTTTGGATAATGCTGATCTAGGATGCTGATCCTTTTTGTATTTTGGAAGTTAATAGTTACTGGTTCGGTGTGCTTGTAAATAATAATGGATATTATAAATCTTTGGAAGTGTAATGTGTGTCTATATATATATATATATATATATATATATATATATGTTGGCGGTTCGGCAATCTAGTTATTCCTGGTAGTCTCTAATTTTATTGTCTGGGATTTTATAATTGTTTCCGCCGCGAATCAACTCTGATGGGAACATTGGGTCGGCGACGTGTTCCTGGGACGTCGCACTGATTCGACCGACGTAGAGGGAAGTCATGGGCTCGATGGGGTTCGGGGCATGACAAATGGCACTTTAAGCATCCAACACAATTTTGTCGCATCGCATAAACAAATTGAAGAGACACCTCTTGTGTTTTCTTGGTCGGATACACCTCTTTTGTATGTACATGATATGGAGTTTATATCGATTCACCAATTTAAATATCGAAAATGATTAGTAATTATATATTTGTTGAAGATATTACCCAAATCTTGACGAATAAGATCGGATATTGTGTAACTTTCATTAATTTGAAATCTCTAATATGATTCGAGAAAAAAGAAAGATTTAAGATTATTCTCATGCTATGTCAAGCCTAGCTAAAAAGCAGGTTGAAACGATCTAATCCAAAAATGTCCGGTTCGAGTCAAGCTAACCTTTTAATGGCCCGTTGGGAAAAAGGTCCGCCCTTACCCTAATTTTCAGGGCGGGTCGAAAAAAAAAATCCTCCACTAGTATCTTATTGTTGGGGTGGGTTATTGGATCCAAGTTTGCTTTTACCGGGTGTAGTTCAAAGGGAATATATATGCTTAAGTCATTAACGAAATCTTCGCTTTTGTTTTGTGAGTGTATACGAGTGCCAAGAACAAGCTCATCAAAGCCAAAAGAAGGGATAATTATACAAAAAGTCTTATACCTATTGTACGGCGGCCAATTCAGTCGTAAGCATTTCAATTATACAAATTTAACCACTGGGGGTTTACCCCAGTGGCCATCCTTCTCACTTGAGAAGGGGGAGGTGGGGAGTTCGAATCCCCACCTTCGCAGGGGGTAGGGGTGGGGCCGCGTAGTTTAAGATGTGGGTTTCGACGCCCATGCCCTGCAAGAGGTGGGGCGCAAATCTGAGTGTGTATCGTGAGTGAGAGATAGAGTAGGACTAACCAAAAATTTTTTTTTTGTCAATTTAGTCCTAAACCTTTTGACGATTTGCCAATTTAGTCATAAACCTTTCAATTATGTCAATTTGGTCATAAAACCTTTTGAAATTCTGCCAATTTAATCCCCAACCTATTATTTGAATAATTGGCCGAAAAGACTACATTGACGAATCATTAAAAGGTTTAGGATTAAATTGACAAATTTTCAAAAGATTTAGGACTAATTTGATATAATTTAAAGGTTTAGAACTGAATTGGGCGCCGTACAATAAGTGTAGGACTTTTTGTACAATTGTCTAGCCAAAAGAATACAAATGTGCAATTTGTCATTAATGTGGCAGGAAAAAGGAGTGTTTGATACTGAAGAGGGTCAAAAGAGATTTCTTCATTCATGAAGGTTTTTCGTTCATCGATCTATATTTTACATGTCAAAGAGATGGCGATAGCAAAACCACTAGATGCTATCAAATGAACGATACCGAACGATGTTACAGAAATTTTGAGGATGGGTTGCTAGAGAATTAGGAAGTATCCTTTCATGTATCCAAATAAAACTTGGGTCTCTTTAACGTGTAGTCCATTGAATTCGAGAGCTTACTCGAACTGCCTATAGAGAGACAATCTCGAGACGTGTTCGTTGAGAGGAGTTTGCATGATCGACTATGAAAGACAATTTGGTGGCCTAATCACGACATTTGATGATGTGTAGAAGTCAATCCACGGCTATACATGATGCTATATATGTCGACTATTGTGGACACTTCTTGGAGAGATGGCCAAAGTTAGATCAACGCAAAGGAATTAGGCATAAAAACTGACTCTTTGCTTGATCAGTTAGAGATTAATGCTATCACTACAAAACAGAAATTTGTATGAGTAGCCGAAATGCAGATGTTGAAACAGACGCGCGCGTGCGTAGAAACTCTGTCAAAAGCAAGATTGATAGGAAGTTATATGCTGCCATACCAATACAGTTTCTATGATGATGCCGAGGAGTTTAACGCATCCCGCCTTTGGTATATTTTTTCCTAATTTAGCATGACAAAATCAATATATTCGAAAAAGAGATAACATCGGCCCTGCCTTACCGCCCTATGAAAACCCCCCTGCCGTGTTGCCCTTAAAATATCTCCGATCCGGTCCAGGTGTTTCAAGTTGGCGGTTCCACATATGGAACTGGGAACCAAACTGAAAATCACTTAGAATCGGGAACCGAATCGATGCCTCGGGAACTGCCTAGAACAGGCTGGTTCAGTCCAAGTGGTTCTTTTTGCACACCTCTACTTGCTACGCTGCCCCCCAAAATCTCTCCCACACCCCGTCAGGGGCAGTACCCGAACCGACTGGGTCGGGGACCTGACGGCCCATGCCGATCCATCATTGAAAGCACGAGCTCTCACAAAACACCACAAGAAGCGAGAGAACTCGTTTCAACGGGCCTAGGCCAAAGGCCCGAAACGAATGGGCCCAAAGCCCGTCGTCTTCTCCGAGCCTCTCGCGACTTTGCACGATTCTCTTACTCTCTCTTTGCGCGTGCCTGCGCAGCCCTTCTCTCTTCCCATTGTCTCCTAGGCTATTGCTACAAAACAAAATTTGTGTGTAACCAAATTGCATATGCTGAAACAGACGCGCATGCGCGTATAAACTCACTCAAGAGCAAGATTGACCGGAAGTTACGTGCTGCCTTACCAATACAGTATCTATGGTAATGCTGAGGAGTTTTTAACGCATCCCCCTTTTGGTAATTTTTTTCCTAATTTAAGATAATAAAATTAGTATATTCAAAAGAGAAGACATCGGCCCTGCCTTTCCACTCTACGAAAACCCACCCGCCGCACCGTCCTTAAAATATCTCTCATCCGGTCTGGGTGGGCGGTCCCACACATGGAACCAGGAACAGACAGAAAATTACCGGTTTCAATTTTTTGGAATCGGAAACTTAGACCGATGCCCCTCGGAATTGCCCAAAACAGGTCGGCCCGTTTGGCTCACACCCCTACTTGCTGCGCCGCCCCCCAAAAATCTCCCCCCCTGTCGGGGCCGGTACCCGAACCGACCGGGGGCGGGACCCGATGGGGCCCCCATGCCGATCCATCATCGGAAGCGCGAAGCTCTCACGAGACACCACGAGAAGCGAGAGGACTCGTTTCAAAGGGGCCTGGGCCGAAGGCCCTAAACTAATGGGCCCGAAGCCCGTCGTCTTCTCCGAGCCTCTCACGACGCTGCAATGCCTGCGCAGCCCCTCCCTCTCTCTCTCTGCACATGTGCCTGCGCAGCCCCTCTCTCTTCCCACCGTCTCCTCAGCTGACGTTTTCTGCTGCTCTTTCGCGACTTCCATCTTCGTCACTCTCTCCCAGCGAAAAGCAGTGCGCAGCGTAAAACCCTAAGCCTAACGACGGCAGCTCGAGTTTTCCCCTCTCTTCCGAGCTGAACATTGAGCGTCGGAGGCCCTCCTCCGAGCTGGGCATCCTCCTCACCCTTCGGGAATGGCGGATTCGCTCGAGCGCCTGGCCTCCGTTGCCGGATTGGTCTCCACCATGTCCACCAAGGAACGCGTCAGGATATTCCGAGATGAACTCCCGCCCTTGTCGAGCAATCTAGGTAGTCGAGCGTGAATTCGATTCGGTTTTGATCCGCATTTGCAGTGGTTCTGGTATTTTGGGAATGCGTGAATGCCATGGGGAGAGGGAAAAAAGGGAAGGGAGAGAGGAGGCTTGCGTTTCAGGATTCGTGAGAGCGTATATGGGTTGATGTAAAGATGCTACTTTTATGTTGTTGGTGGGTCAACCAATCAAGGGTGTGTGTTCATTGTGGATTTTAAACGTGGGGTGTCATATGCTATCGTTGGTCAGTCGGGTTCTTTTCTTGAGGTTGTAGGCTCAGAAGTCTTGGGAATTTTATGTTGTTTTGTCCTGGTTCATGTCGAATTCTGGTCTTCCTTTATCACATTGACTGTTTGGATGCGTTGTAATTTAGCCTTCTGAGGTTGGTGCATGTTCATCAACCTGGGAGTTTTGTTTAAATGATCATTCTATTGGCTGTGCAGAGATGTCTGCTGAGATCGCATCGCAATTGGTAGAAATCATCTTTAAAACTCTGTTCCTGTATGAGGATCTGCGGTCAAGGAAAGCGGTCGATGCGGTGATTGTGAAGGCTCTTGGCGAGGCTGCATTCATGAAGTGTTTTGCTGCTACCCTTGTTCAGTTTATGGATAAGCTGCTTAAAGCTCAATCTCATGTGGGTTGTTACAGGCTTCTTAAGTGGTCGTGCATCCTCTTGAGTTGTAGTCAATTCGCTGCAGTTTCGAGGAATGCTGTGTGTAGGGTCGCTGCAGTGCAGGCATCTTTACTCCCGCTTGTTATGCGACAGTCGTTTCGGCAGCGAAGAGCTTGCAAGAAGTTATTTTTTCAGTTATTTAGTCAGGTTTAGCTCTTCTTCGGCTTAAATAACTTTTTTAATTTTTAATCTTTGTAAGACATGAGATTCTCTAGGTTATAATTAATTTTTTGTGGGTATGAATTTGTTTATTTCTTATATTTCAGTCAAAGGACATGTACAAAATCTTTATAGAGGAATTACAGAATGGAAGGATCTCTTACAAAGATAGCCCTGAAATTATATTGTTGTTGCTGGAATTTGCAAGCGATAGTCCTTCTTTATTTGAAGAATACAAGGTGAGGACAATATTTAGTTTTCTGGGCGTTTTCAATTGTTTTATCTGATAGTCTTTTTAACTTCTTTTGTTGCCTTTGTTTTGTCTCGATGCTCTGCTTTGGGCAGTCAGTAATTCTTGGTGTATATGCTAAAGCTGTTCTAAATGCGAGAGAAAAACCAGCACAAGGTCTTAGTGAAGTGTTTCACCCACTCTTTAGACACTTGTCTCATGAAGACTTTCAAACTACCATTATTCCATCTGCTGTTAAAATGCTAAAGCGTAACCCGGAGATTGTGCTGGAATCTGTTGGAATTCTCTTAAACTCAGTCAATCTTGACTTGAGCAAGTATTCTTCGGAAATTATCTCCGTGGTATTATCCCAAGCTCGCCATGCAGAGGAAGGAAGAAGGGTCGGTGCTTTGACCATAATCAGGTGTTTGAGTCAGAAATCTAGTAATCCGGATGCTTTAGAATCAATGGTCAATGACGTGAAAGCTGTCATTGGAGGTTTGTTATCCTCTCTGTCATTTCTTTTGGGGTATAAGACTGGGTTTAGCAATATGGTTTCATAATTATTTCAAATGGCTTTGTCAACAGGGTCAGAGGGGAGACTTGCATTCCCTTACCAGAGAATTGGAATGATCACTGCATTGCAAGAACTGTCAGTTGCTCCTGAAGGAAAGTACATTAAGAGTCTATCTCAAAGCATTTGCAGCTTTCTTTTGAATTGCTACAAAGGTGAAGGTATGTGTTGCTCCTGATGCCCTGTTTTCCTTTTTCATTTTGCCTTTTCTATGTTGGTATTGGTTGGTATTTCTCTGTGCCTCCGACATGTTGTCAGCATTGCCAATGTGCTGATGTCATCTCCCCTCTTTAATTGAAAGGAAACGAGGAGGTGAAATTAGCAGTTCTATCTGCTATAGCCTCCTGGGCTGCTCGATCATCTGAAGCTGTTCAACCAGATTTAGTTGCTTTCTTTGCTTCTGGCCTAAAGGAGAAGGAAGCTTTGAGAAGGGCACATCTTCGTTGCCTGAGAGTTATCTGTGAAAATGCTGATGTTGTTATGCAGGTGATTGGGCATATTGTTATGTATTTCACTCGAGTGTTGGTTTTCATGTCAAACTTTTACTTAGGCAAACTTTTCTGATAAACTTTCAGATATCTTCATTGTTTGGGCCTCTCATCCAACTGGTTAAAACTGGTTTTACTAAACCAGTGCAGCGGTTGGATGGTGTTTATGCACTTCTTTTGGTTGGAAAGATTGCAGCCATCGATATTAAAGCAGGTATGACAGAATGGTGGGGAAAATATGTCAAGGCGAATCCTCATACCCTGCACTTCTTTTGCCTTGCCATTGTTTTTGGCTTGTTCTTGAGTTCATTTTCTGCCATCTGCTCTTTCAGAGGAGACTGTGACAAAGGAAAAGATATGGTCCTTGGTCTCTCAAAATGAACCTTCTCTTATTCCCATATCTATGGTAGCTCTCTCTTGGATCTCTTTCTTCTGTTTATTGTTTTTTTAATTTATTAACTAATAGTTGAATGTAAGATCTCTAAATGTTAACACCAATCATTGATCTTTCACTACAAGGTCTCCAAACTACCAGTGGAGGATTGCATGGCGTGCATCGATCTTTTTGAGGTTTTGCTTGTGGAACATCAGCACAGGTTAGACATGTGCACCAGTCACAATTATAAAAGTTTGTATGTTTGTCTACAGGGAAGACTGATTGGAGTCAATTGGTTTGTTGTCTTGCAGAGTGTTGGAAGCCTTCTCAGATAGGTTACTAGTACAGGTAGTACAGGTTCATGACATTATTCTTGTTGATGATATTGATTTCCCTCCATGTAGAGGAACTGGTTTTCATTAATGGTTGATTGGATGCAGTTGATACTCTTTTTGATTTGTCATTCAAGTTGGGACGTTCGAAAAGTGACTCATGATGCTACCAGAAAGATAATTTCAGCTCTACCGCTATTATCTGAAGCTCTTTTGCTTGAGCTCACTAGGTTCCTATCCAACATTGGTGAAGGTGCTGCTACAAGGTACTATACGGCTGTGATGGATATGAGACTCTGGTTGCCTTTATTGTTTATGTCAAGGTGAAAAAATTTCGAGCAAAGAGTTATATGCAAAATGAATGGTGATATGATCGATTGCCTTTGATGATTTGGTGATTTTTTTCCAAATCCAATAATCCCTCTTTAGTTTAGTTACATGGTGTTTGCAACAACTCTTTTTCTGTTTGGTGGCATTTCTAACTTTATGCCTTCTTCTTTAGAGGTTTCTGTCCTATAGCCAGTGGGTGTGAGTAAATATCATTGGAGGTTGTTGAACGTGGTGTAATATTTCTAAGATGTCACCCAACTTTCAATTTTTTCAATCTGGTCACTCAACTTTGCTTCTACTTTCAAACAGGTCACTCTGTCTGTCCTATTACCGGCAATCTCTAGTGAAAATTGAGCTAAATTGGATTATATCTCAGTAGCTATTAAAGAAAATTAATCTAAGGTTAGGTGATCATGGAAGAAATGTTTCGGACATATTTCTGGTGGATCCTTGTACAGAATGACTTGATTGAAAGTAAACATTGTCAAGGGTCCTATTAAAAAATGGAAAGTTTGAGTGACCTATTTGAAACTTGGACAAAGATCAATAACCCTTGATATATTTTACATTGATCTAACTTTGTATAATCCCTAGTGACACAGAAAATACACTGGATACACACTTGCCTAATGTTCCTGCGGTGGAGGTTCTGGTGAAGGCTTTCATCATGGTGTCCTCTGCAACTTTGGCAGCTGCTCCAAGTGTGTGTGTGCAAGTCATCCTCTGTGCACATCATCCATACATAATTGGCTCTGGCAAAAGAGATACAGTTTGGAAGGTAAGCCGTTAAGAAGTTTTTTGACACTGATGGAAGATTTTAAGGGTGTGTTTGGCAACCATTATGTTCCCAGAAACAATTTCAGGTCAAAAATGATTCTTTTTTATTCTAGCCCGGGACCAATTTCTAAGCATTTGAAGATGTTTGGTAACTGCCCAAAATTTCTATTCTTGGAATAGAAAAAGAACAAAAATGCGTTTGGTAACTGCACAAAATTTCTTTTTATTAATAATATTTTAATAATATTTTGAATTTTTTAATATTTCTTTTTTTTTATTTTTCTTTCCTTGGCCATGGCTAGGCCGCAGGCGTTGGCGACCGGCCACAAGCCAAGGCCGGCAAGTGCATCGCGGCCCTTGCCGGCTTCGGCAAGGGCTGGACCCTTGCCGCCGCCCTTGCCAGATTTGGTGAGGGCGGCTAGCGGCCTGGGCGAGGGTCGCCCTCGGCAGCTTGGGTGAGGGTCGCCCTTGCCAGATCCAGCGAGGGCGGCCCTAGCCTATGGCCGGCGGCTGGTGACCGGCCACGGGCTAGGAAGAAGAAGAAGAATAAAAAAAAAATTTCTTTTCCATTTCTGATTTTTGTTCCCTTTTGCTTTTTGATTATGTACCAAAACTGATTATGGGAACAAATTTTTGCAAATTTGTGCCCGGGAACAAAAAATTTACCAAACGGATTTCTGTTCCAAGACTGATTCTGAGAACAAAAGAATAGAAATAGTTACTGTTTGGCTGGTTGCCAAACGCGCCCTAAGCATGGAAAACAATCAAAACATGTGTTCAGTCCCTTTCCAGGCAAGGTGATTTTTGAGAAAATTTTGCTGTATCTGGGATGGTGTATCATTATGCGTCAGAAATTTAATAATTGGAAAATGCTATCAGTTTTCATGTTTCAAAATATGTTCGCTATCCCACAGTATTTTGGCTTGAAATAAATAAAATGTCTAAAGTAGTTGTTTCATAAAGCTCATTATCACTATTGGCACTTTGTAGAATACCAACTACAATTCACAGAATGAGCACCTTGCTCCTAGCTCCCTCATTTCCCCCTCCCTTTCTTTTTTTTCATGTTCCGTTTGTTTTAACAATAGTTATTGCACATGATTTCGCTAGGTTTGCATCATGAAAGTATGAGCATACTTGAAGCTTAGTCTATCGATATTGCGGTCATTGGGAATTTCTTTGAACATGCAAGGTTAAAGATGACTATAGCTTTGGAAAGTGGAAAAATTCTGAAAATGATTTTGAGAGATGGAGGGCGAAGGGGATGTGGGGGTTGTTTGGTGGACACTTTCACAAATTCCTCTATCAATAAATGAGACCCCACCCATTAGGTTAATAGCCAATTATATGTTGAAAATTTGAATGCAATGGCATGGGGGGCTAACCTATTGCTTATGCATATTTTCCCTCAGATTTTATGTTTATAAATGTAGTGATGCATTGATTTATTGAATATGGCTTATAACTTTCTTGTTTGTTTTCTAGAGGCTTCAGAAGTGTCTAAAAACGCTCGGTGTTGATATCATTGGCATTATTTCTGCTGATGTGCCAAACGTGTGTAAGGTAAGTTGCACTATCCTGGCAATAATCTGTATGAATTGGTGTAGATATTGTTGACATTTTTTTTTTCTGTGTGAAGGTTTTTAAAGGTGTGTTTTTTTTTTCTTTAGAAAAACAGAAGGCAATTCTGTTTCACTTTATTCATAAGATCTATAATATTATTCAAAACAAAATTATAGATGTGGATATGTAAATTTACAAGTCATCATTTGTATATTTTGAAAGGTTTCATGTGTTGCGTGTTTAATAAAAGTCGAAGTGTGTGGGCCACAAGATTTGCAAAAAAAAAAAAAAAAAAAAAAACAGGAAAAAACAAGAAGTAAATAACAAAAGCAATTGGAGGTGCACCTTTATCAACGTGCTTGCTTTTTCTGAACTATAGTACTGCATGGATTGGAAAGGAAATGTGGGTGATTTTAAGTCGAGAATCACTGCTTGATAATTCCTTATGGGGCATGGCCAACATTGTTTTCTTTGGGTTACGTTAGACAGAAGTTGCGGATTTCCATTACAAAAGCTTTGGAAATCCACATTTCTTGGGTACCTTCTGATGGCTTTACTCTGTCTCCAGGATTTATTGGGACCAAGGGGATTGATGAATGCTAATCAACTGGAACAGCAGGCTGCTATATCGTCATTGGCAACCTTGATGTCAATTGTACCTGGTGATACTTACCTAGAGTTTGAAAAGGTTTTAACATGATCTCCTTTAATCTTATCCTGAATGAATCCTTTTTCTGCTTTATTGCTGGCTAAACTAATTTCTGTTTTTCTTTTCCCAGCATTTGAATAATCACCCTCATCGCCATTCCCATGATATGCTCTCAGAAAGTGACATACAGGTAATAGTGATTGGCTGTCGGTCTTAATTCATTGCATATTATTACAAGGCTGTGCTGAAGTTGCCCTCTTAATTCAACACTGATTCACCTGTTTGTGTAATATGTACAAGTACATACGAATGCTCGATAGAATGATTATTATCTTTTCCACCTTATGCATGGGCTACTATATATGTTCTTGAGGAGTTTTGCTTATGGTGGCATGTGTCATGACAGTCGTTCTATACATTGTAATTGAGGTAGTAGGGGGCAAAGTTAATGATATTACCTTGGCAATGTTGGAATTAGTGGTTGTAGTTTACTCAAGACATTGGAATAGGCATGAAAAGCTTTTGATAGTGGCTGGTGTCTTTGGGGTTCTTTATTCCTTATTTTCTTGTTATAGATTTTGATGGTGGCTGGAGTCGTTTGGGTTCTTATTTCCTTATTTTATTTTCATGTTTTGGTGGGAGGTTTAGGCATAGTTTTGTTGGAACGTGTCATTATCTGTATACTCGGTACTGCTTTCCTTATTCATGCAACTTCCAGTAGTGGCAATATATTGTCTGTTATGGCTAAGTTATTGAAACGGTCTGCGAAGTGTGAACTTAATAGACTAATTTGCCATCATCAGGATTGTAGAAGAGATGCTATTAACTGATTTAGCTATAATGACCAGAGATTGACCCATGGTGCATTTGAGTGCTTACACTGAGTGTGGGAAATTACATGGATACAGAAGAAACTTGAGAGGGTGGATGAAGAAGCAATTTCATCAAGATCTAACTGTTCTGAGATACTGTGATTGTTGCTTATGTGCATTTTCGACCAATAAAATTACTGCAATTATTGTATATGCAATTTTAATATCTTTATTAACTCGTTCTGTTTTCTTTTTTTAAAAATTTTATTGTCAGATGGATTCTGCATCATTACTTAGTCAACTATAATTATTTTTTATATTGAGGAGTTGTGAATCCTCTTGAATTTTCCTTGGCATTCGAAGCTTGATAATATCTTTTCGTGGAAGTCTTGTCAACATGAAATTTCTTGATGGCTTACTTGGAGAAATACACGACATTATTATCCAATTGAGCCTTTTTGAAAGCTCACTTCTGTTTTGTTGTTTTTAGATATGTATCTTACTCTTATTCTGCTTTTTTTGTCGTTTAGTTGTCTTGCATATCTTCTTCTGAATTGCATGGGCTTCATCTATTTTTTCAGATTTTCCAAACTCCTGATGGAGTACTCTCCAGTGAGCAAGGAGTATATGTTGCTGAATCAGTTACCTCTAAGAACACAAAACTTGCGAAGGGCCGGTTTCGGATGTATGAGGATGAAGATGGGATGGTGACCATTAGTCATTCCTCGATTGTTTGACTCTTACAGTTGTGTGCAGATCAATATTGACTGGCTTTAACTTTGTTTTAGGATGATGTTGCCACTAAACATGGGGTGAGGAGAGATCCGGCTAATAGAGAAGTTTCAGTTGGTGGGAAACGTGATTCTGGCAAGCCAACAAAGAAAACAGGTTTTACTTTCTTTGTGAGAATATTTTGGTTTCGTAATTACCTACTTGTTTTAACACAAATCACCGACATGGTTTGTATGAGTCCAGATAAAGCGAAAAGTGCAAAAGAAGAGGCACGGGAATTGTTGCTGAAGGAAGAGGCATCTATACGTGAGAGGGTCAAGGGAATACAAGAAATCCTAACTTTGATGCTTAGAGCTCTTGGAGAGATGGCCATTGCCAATCCTGTGTTTGCTCACAGTAAACTGCCTTCTGTGGTGCGTATCCTATGAGTATACTGTGAATCGATGAGGACCGATTTCAGCCATCTGCTTGTGCTTTCTTCTATCATTCATGTTAACGTTATTCCATAGTTAACACTGGTTTTATATCCACATACCTTATTCATCTAATAAACTTAAGCTTTTGGAAATTGAATGAGTGATAATCGGGTGATGGATCATCAATTGATTGAAACAAATCCGACTTTGACGACGTGTAAAAGGTTTTTTAACCTATACATTTTGCTATTAGATGGAGAAGGGCAAATGCAATAAGTCCAGCATGAAACTTGTTGACAAATGATGTAGGATGACATTAGCAATTCCTGCTGTTTCCATGGCATTTATTTTTGCTTGATTAGTGCTTTTTCTTGCTTTTGTCGTTGGAGTTTTCTGACCATGCTTTTTTTGTTATCTGTATAGCTCTTGCTGTATGAGAGACTTAGCTGTGGTTCTCATTTTCTTTCAGGTTAGGTTTGTCAATCCATTATTACGGTCGCTAGTTGTTGGTGATGTGGCGTATGAAACCCTGGTGAAGCTCTCCCGATGTATCGCATCTCCTCTCTGCAATTGGGCCATTGATATTGCTGCTGCTCTTCGCCTGATTGTGACAGAGGATAACGACATGCTTTTGAATTGGAGGATTCCATCTGTTGATGGAGGGGAGGCGAATGAAACTCCGTCATTGGGTCTTTTTGAGCGTGTAATAAATGGTTTATCCATATCATGCAAATCGGGCGCTCTTCCTGTAGATTCCTTCACTTTTGTTTTTCCGGTAAGGATAGCGTATATCTTTATTAGTGTGCACATTTACTTGTATCGATCAACTTAATACAAGGTGACTATGATTTGTATCCAGATAATGGAGAGGATTCTGTTGTCATCCAAGAAGACTGGCCTCCACGATGATGTGCTCCAAATCATCAATTTACATTTGGATCCTCTGTTGCCCCTTCCTCGACTTCGAATGATATCGGTTGCGTATTTCTACAATTTAATCTGCATAAGAGATAGTCCATTTTCTTTCCATGTTGCTTCCATTTCCTTTGACTTAATTTTTAGCTCACTATATTTTAGTCTCTTGCTTTCAGGCTCTTTATAATGTCTTGAGCGTTGTTCCTGCTTATCAAGCTTTAGTTGGATCAGCATTAAATGAACTATGTCTTGGTCTGCAACCAGATGAAGTTGCTTCAGTGAGTTCCCTTACTTTTTTTGATGGACAATCTAACGCATTGCTGGAGTTAATTTTCTTTTCTGATAGTTCTTGTATTTCACAGGCATTATATGGAGTTTATGCTAAAGATGTTCATGTAAGGATGGCTTGCTTAATTGCTGTAAAATGCATTCCATCCGTTGCTAGTCGCGCTCTTCCTGAGGATGTTGAGATTGCGACAAGGGTTTGGATTGCATTACATGATGCTGAGAAGGTTAACATGCTTTGTCTTGTCCTCTTGATGATATTGCTTAAACTTGATCTTGCATAAGCAAATCTGCTGTACCTTTAAGCTATTGCTATGAGTAATTGGGACCAGGTCGCAATTGCTAAATCTAAATATAGGAAAAATACTAATCCTAAGAAGAAAAGATGACGGGTAAGATGGATTTTTCATATCAAAAGCATCTTTCTTGCCTTGTGATCCAATTAATCATCTGAATTGACGGAGAAATGCTGTAGAGACTAAAGATGGCAATAACTCTCAAGTTGTGTTGAGTTTTGTGCATAAAGATTGTCCTTCATCTATCTCAGGGAATTCTGTAGTTAAATGTTCTATAGAAATATAGTGAGAAAAATCAATGCCTTTTTGTTATTGTAGTAGCAAAATCAAACGGATAGGATAAATTGTCTAAGAATCATGTTTCTTGCAAACACAAACTTCTAAAATTTGTTCCAGATTTCATGGATTGAATGGGGGAATTTTTTGTTTGCATGCTTCTAGTGAAAGGTTAATACAAATTCTTTTATTTGACACCACCTTCCTCTGGTTGGCGCCAGCTAAAAGCTGTTTGAGAGGATAATGACTTGTTTCTATTATGTTTTTCAATGAAGGAATTACAATATATATGCTTAACATAACGTAAAATCCTCTAAACACAATATTACAATTCTACCCTCCTTATCATATTTCTAACACTCCCCCTCAAGTTGGGACGTAGATATCAAATAGTCCCAACTTGTTACATAGGAAACTCACTCTATTCCCCCGTAGAGATTTAGTAAAAATATCCGCTAGTTGATCCTCTGTCCTTGCATGTTGAAGAGTGATTTCCCCTTTCTGGACCTTCTCTCGTATAAAGTGACAGTCAACCTCAATATGTTTGGTTCGCTCATGGAAAACAGGATTGTTCGCAATATGGATAGCTGATTGATTATCACAATATAATGTTGATGGATATGATGTTGACACACCAATTTCTGAAAATAACATCCTTAACCAGAGCAATTCACCTCTGTATATTTTGCCTCAGCACTTGATCGAGAAACCACATGTTGTTTCTTACTTTTCCAGGCAACTAAATTGCCTCCAAGAAATACGCAATACCCTGATGTAGATCTTCTATCAGTAGGGCATCCAACCCAGTCTGCATCAGAGTATCCTGTAGTGTTCAGATGACCATGACTCTTAAAAAGTAATCCTTTACCTGGTGTTCCCTTCAAGTACTTAATAATTCGCTGTACAGCATCCCAGTGAGTAGTGCGAGGAGAACTCATAAACTGACTCACTACACTGACGGAAAATGATATATCAGGTCTTGTGACAGTGAGATAGTTCAATTTATCCACTAACCTTCGATATTGCATTGGATCATGTAACAGTTCTCCATGTTCTGCATCAAGCTTCACATTAGGCTCCATAGGTGTATCAACTGGTTTTGCTCCAAGAAATCCAACCTCATTCAGAATATCAATTACGTATTTTCGTTGTGATAAATTGATACCTACCTGTGAATAGGCAACTTCAATCCCAAGAAAATATCGTAGACGTTCCAAATCTTTAGTATCGAATTCTGTATGTAGAAACTGTTTAAGTCGTTGGATACCGTCTGAATCACTACCAGTGATAATAATATCATCCACATATACCACTAGAAGTACACAACCAGTTGAGGATACAGAACTAAATACTGAATGATCAACCTGACACTGTTTTAACCCAAACTTGGTAACTGCATCAGTGAACTTACCGAACCAAGCACGAGGAGATTGTTTAAGTCCATATAAGGCCTTCTGTAAACGACATACCAGATTCTTCCCCTGAGCGACAAACCCAGGTGGTTGCTCCATATGGACTTCTTCAACTAAATCTCCATGTAAAAAGGCATTTTTTAGGTCCAATTGATGAAGATGCCAGCCAAAGTGCGCTGCTAGGGAAATAAAAACACGAACAGTTGGAATTTTGGCAATAGGTGAGAAAGTGTCATCATAATCAATACCATATGTTTGAGTATATCCTTTGGCAATCAACCTAGCTTTCAATCGATCAAGGGTACCATCAGGGTGAATTTTAATAGTAAAAACCCAACGACAACCAACAGGTTGTTTCCCATTAGGTAAGTGAGTGAGTTGCCAAGTACGATTCTCAAGAAGTGCCTTCATTTCATCTTCCATGGCGTGCCGCCATCCAGGATGAGCAAGAGCTTCAGCAACACTGCTAGGCACAGAGATAATGAGCATAACGATCAGAATAATGAGCGTAACGATCCCTAGGACGACCAACACAAGATCTTGTACCTTTTCGAAGAGCAATGGGTTGATCAGGATCGGAGGATGGTGCGACAATTGGTGGAGGAATAGATGAATCAAATGTCTGTGGGACCTGTACCATCGTGGTAGGAACTGCGTTACGCCAATGATATGTGTGCTCAGCAAACTGAAATCCTGTCGATGGTGCTGGAGGTACAGAGAGTGGAGAAAGTGCAGGGAGGATGGCGAGCAACATCGCACGAGCAGCAGAAGAGCACGCGCGAACGCGAGGTTCGCGCAAGCAGAGCGCGATGGTCGCCTGTGTGAGTGCGAGATTCGCGCAAGCACAGCGCGAGGGTCGCGTGAGGGTGGAGCCCGCCGCGGCGGCAACAATGGCTGACAGTTCTGGCGGCTAGACAACGGCGACAAGTGGATTAGGGTTAAGAGCTGAGCTCTGATACCATGTTTGAGAGGATAATGAATTGTTTCTATTATGTTTTTCAATGAAGGAATTACAATATATATGCTTAACATAACGTAATGCCCTCTAAACACAATATTACAATTCTACCCTCCTTATCATATTTCTAACAAAAGCAATAAAAGAGGACAATCCATTTAGACTAATAGTGTGTGATTGCATGTGCTTGATTTGGGACCACTATTTTCTCTTGGCCATTTTGGCTATTGATTTGTCCTTTCTGAATGTATTCTTTATTCTTGGATTCTGTGGTTCTATCATTTTGTGTCTTTTAGGGAATTGCTTCAGCAGTATCTTTGTGTTTATCTAATAAACATTTTTTCAAATCTTTTGCTGTATAGAAGATATTTATAATGTGACCTCAACTTTATATATTCATCAGTCAGTTGCAGAAGTGGCTGAAGATATATGGGATCGCTATGGACATGATTTTGGGACCAACTATTCCGGACTTTTCAAAGCACTTTGTCATGTCAATTACAATGTGAGATTAGCCGCAGCAGAGGCATTAGCTGCTGCTTTGGATGAAAAACCAGACTCCATACAGGTAAGCCTGTGTTTAGCTTCCCCTTGGGAATATGGAGTCTATTCTTCTCTTTATTATAATGTATTTCTTCCAGTCTTTTTTGTTTTCTTTTTGAATGTTGTCTTCATTGCTAGGTTTGTTGATTAAACCTTGACGTGTCAGTTTCCCATGGTGTATTTCAGGAATCTCTTTCGACACTTTTTTCATTGTACATCCGTGAAGCTGGTTTTAGTGATGAAAATGTCGATTCTGGTTGGCTTAGCCGACAAGGAATAGCGTTAGCATTACATTCTGTGGCTGACGTGTTGAGGACGAAGGATCTTCCTGTTGTTATGACTTTCCTGATCTCGCGAGCTCTGGTAATTTCTTAGATTTCGTTATGGAGTTGAGTTTGGGTCCTTGATCTTGTTTTCTTGGTTGAGTTGGTTCTTTACTTTTCTGATGTCTCAACATGTATTTAGCACTTTGTATTGACTCTTGCTGTAACACTGTGACAGTTGCTATTGTCATATTCACTTTATAGTAGCTTCCAAACCAGATTGAGGGATAAAAAAATCGATAAGATGCAGTTGCAATTTGCTACTGCTTTGGTTTTTTTCATATGTCTGCATTATTAAGGGGCAGCGATTGTAGTTCAAGAAAGCAAATGGTGACACCTTATAACATTTGTTTTGATGTACGAATCTACACAATTTCTAGGGACATGATGCTGGGTGCCATGGACGCATTTTAGGCAAGCTTGGTTTTCTCAATGGGGCCTAGAGATGGTCAACAGTCAGTAGTATATATTTCGTTGCAAATAAATTCTGGACATTCAAAGAACCCTCAAGCTTCAGTAGGAATGCTACGCAGCTTTAATTAAGGATGTTGGTGTCAATATGTGTCCTGGCAAATGACTCATCTCTATATAAAATTAAAACACATGACATGGACTTGGCGAGTATCCAGATGTTGGAGATAGATATTCCAAAGAATCATTGTAATACATGTCCTGGGAGATTTCGTACTTGGAAAGTTTGAGAAATGTTCTTCATAAACTACCTTAATAATGACAAGTTTCATCTTATGATGTTTCTCAATGCTGCAGGCTGATCCCAATGCTGATGTTCGGGGAAGGATGATTAATGCTGGCGTTATGGTTATCGATAAGCATGGAAGGGAAAACGTTGGGTTGCTGTTTCCAATTTTTGAGAACTACTTGAATAAAAAGGTGGATCACGCATATATTTAACACCATTGATTGGTTGTAAAAAATCTGGATTTGTTTTTGTTGGGTACCAGATTTGATACTCTTACAAATGGAACTACTGAAAGTTGCTACTATCAGTTCTTCTTTTGAACATTCAATGAGGTCTGTTAGCTGTTTTTGTTTCTTATGTAGGCATCTGATGAGGAAAAGTATGATTTGGTCCGGGAAGGTGTTGTTATTTTCACTGGAGCCTTAGCGAAACACCTGGCGAAGGTTAAAATTACCTGCTTTTCCATCCTCTTTACTTCCTTAAATTTTTGTTATTGTTGATGCATGAAATTTTTGGAACAGGATGATCCCAAAGTTCACACGGTCGTGGAGAAATTGTTGGATGTGTTAAATACACCATCTGAAGCTGTACAACGTGCAGTCGCAAGCTGTCTATCTCCTTTAATGCAATCAAAGCAAGTATGTCATCGTGTCTAATTGGCTGGAGTTTTTGTTGCTCTTTCTATTTAGATTATGGTTTGTCTTGTAAGAGAGCTCTTCGGTTTTTGCTTATTTCCACTAGGGTGTTCATGGTTCGGTTTGGAGGTATTTTCAACCCAAACCGAACTTATTGATATGGGATAAACTCAATCCAAATCCAAACCAAATAAATAAAGTTACAGCTCAATCCAAGTCAATAACTTAGGTTTGTTATCAATTTGGTTTGGTTCCAAACCATTGCCATCAAGCCAATTTAGAAGTATGAAGTTTAATACATACTTAGACTATCTAACTTCAACATGCAATGTAAATTAAAACAAGAAGCACCTATTTCTACACACTTTATTTGAATAAGGATTATATTCACAATTAAATCAAATTAATTGTTAGTAACGTACAAAGAAAAATATAATTTAACTAATGGAAGAACACAAAAAATCGCAGAATACTCTTTCGTAAATCTTATTTGAGATTAATAATCAATTGATAATGGCCAACGAGAGAAGTAAAAATCCTTCATATAATAGTATAGAGCAATCATGATAGGAAGAACTTATTTGGTTGGGTTAAGTCTACAAAATTTAATAGTCAGAAGGAAATAAATATATTTATTATACTTATCTGTTTGGTTCGGTATTGTCGGTTTCCTAAGTTATAAACCAAAACCAAACCAATAAACCAAACTTATTGGTTTGGTTGGGTCTACTTTATCGGTTTTAGGTTTCTTTAAAACACATTTTCAGGTATCATAGATGGGGCAGCAAGTGTTAGGGATGACGTCCTGGGATGATTTTCTGGGGAACAATAGAAAAGTTTCCATAGCTGACAAAAAAGGGTCTCATGTCTAATAATATCTTAAGTAACTTTTTGGGTCTGTTGGATGTTACAGAGGAACTTGATTTATTGGTTTTCAAACCATTCTACGCTGATTACATGACTGTTTTTGTTTTCCTGCTGCATCTGTTAATAAGTAGTGACTCTTGCAACATCTTTTAATAAGTGGCGATTCTTCTTTGCTAAGCGTTTTAGTTTATTTTCCATGATGTAGACTTCAGTTATTTTGAGGTCCATAGTAATAAACAATTCTGACTGAAAGGAATACTATCGCATTTCTATGTTTTTCTTTTTTCTTTTCCAATCCGTGTGTTATAAACAAGGATAAAACCAAAGTTTGATTGTTTTCACTAATGTATGTGAACTTGGTAAATTGTGATTTGTAAATTGGTTTCACTATACTAAAAATTTCTATCATTTTCTATTTGAACGTCGCTTCGTATAGCAGTTCTTTCTTGCATAGGTTTTAAACTATTTTCAAGAAACAAACAGGTGAAAAGCAACTTAACTATTCTAATATCTTTAGATGACAAGCATGATGAAGACTGTGTAGGATGACAAATTGAAAAGATTTTCCAAGTGACACTATATTCTTAATTCAAAATTGAAATATAAAGCGGTTTTTCTTATTATATTTCAAAAAGGCTTTTAGCTATTGGTAAGATGCCCGAGGGAAAATTAGATTGTACATTGTCTTGGACTTAAAGTAGGCAAAAACAATTGTGTACATATTCCATGGAAGTTAGTTTTTCATTTCATTTTCAGCCAAAAGAATTGTTACCATTGCTGTCTTAGAAATTCTAAACTGACTGAAGAATTTCCGTGAAGGATGGAGACCTGTGAAATGTGTTCTTCATATTAGCGAATCAGTGAGGAATTATAGTGTTTAATTTGTTGTCAACCAAATGGGAGCAGAAGTTCTGCAAATGATTATTTAATTTGACAACTTCTTCTCAAATGCGATTTTGAAAACAAATTGGGAGGCAAAATGTCATTAAGAGAATGCTTCACAAAAGCTTCTGGTAAAATCTGAAAACTTATTAGCCAAGTGATCCAGTATTGTACTTTGAGATGATTCCTGTGCTAACAGGCGGAAGCCCTGCATCTACTGTTATTTTGTTTTATTTTCAAGTAGCATATGCTTCCAGTGATTCTACCTCTAACCTTGGTATGGAAGAGAAATTAATCCTATGCTGTTTGTGGTATGTAGTATAAAACTGATAGAGAACTGTATAATGAATATATAATATTGCAAGATCCAAAGATTAGTTGACATGGGAGGGTAGACCGGGTAATGTTCCATTAGACGAAATGTGATAGATCTAACCTTGGTAGTGATTCACTTTTTACCAATGAGTATGAGTTGATGGCAATGTGATAGATCATCATCTAAGTTGTTGTAGTTGATGTATTTGGCATAATGATTCTTTCTTTGAATTTTTTATTATTAAAAAAAATTATATCTCTGTTTGTAAAACTGATTTGTCTATAAGTGCATTTGTTGGTGGGTAATAGGTATGATTTGAATGCAAGGGTTGCCCTTCTTTTCTCGTTATCAGAGGAAATGTTTGAAGATCAAAGATATTGTTGTAAATCTTTTCAGTATTAATTTTCCTGGTCCTCTTATATTATAGTTTAACCATGTAAAATTGACAGGATGACGCACAAGTGCTGCTCTCTAGACTGTTGGATCAGCTCCTAAAGAGTGATAAATATGGGGAACGCCGTGGGGCAGCTTTTGGACTTGCTGGTGCCGTTAAGGGATTTGGGTTATCTTGCTTGAAGAAGTATGGGATTGTGGCTTCGCTGCGAGTAGCTCTTGTAGATAGGTTGGTTCTCAGCAGCTCTAAGTAAACTACTTCGTTTTCTTACTTTACTGGTCAAAGAGAAGACATCTCTTCACTATTTGCAAATGTGTCGGCTAGAGAAGTATCAGATAATGAGAAATTGCACATTCCATGGTGCAATCTGTAATTATCTTTGTTTAATATTATATGTCGTTCTGAGCCACGACAAAAATCTATCCTATTAAGAAATCTCAAACGGATTTCAGAGGCAACATTCCAATGGAAATCATTTATTACACTGATCTGATGTACAACTAGGTGATTTCACTAGGCTTTCTTCTGCTGTTATCAATAATAAATCTCTACATTATATAGAAGACAGCTTGCTGTAGTCATCTTGTTCATATTGCTTCCCCTGTTTTTGCCTGTCTATTTTTTTTCATACGTCCTATTTTGTCCAGTTAAGCCTCTTTATTTTTCGATATGGGACCCAGTCTCTTTATTAACTCATACTTAGCTTGTAAATCAAGGTACAAATGAGGGTCAAGTTTTTCATCGTTCAATCCTGACCATTCTTTATTTTATTTTAGTATTTTTTTTCCTGTACGGATGTCATATCTCCACTGCCATATTTAATTCTCTTTGTGGGCCTTGTCCCTTAAACTCCCACTCCCTTTAGTCTGATTGTGCATGTGCACGTGGTCACATTCCATATTGATCAGTAGACATCTGGTTACTTAACCAAGATTTTTTCTGTTGTGTATGCTGAATCTTTTAACAAAATTTCGTTGCCATTATCTTCTTAAATGCTTTAGGAACTCAGCGAAATGCCGTGAAGGAGCACTCATGGCATTTGAGTGTCTTTGTGAGAAGCTCGGAAAATTATTTGAACCGTATGAACAAAATCCCTTATGTGTTGTTTTTGTCATATTATTCTTTCTTGCATTCTCTAACCATGTGTCCCATATGTTTTCTTGCGCTGTTGGTATAGGTATGTAATACAGATGCTGCCCTTACTGTTGGTATCTTTTTCTGATCAAGTTGTGGCAGTTCGTGAAGCTGCTGAATGTGCTGCTCGTGCAATGATGTCTCAACTCACTGCTCAGGGGGTTAAATTGGTTCTTCCATCTCTTCTAAAGGTGTTTCTTTTGATTAATTTCTTTATACTTCCTTTATGTGTATAGAATTCTTATGTATGCCCTGGTTTAGTTCAATTATGTAGTATGATATCATAGATATAGATCAAGAAATATTCTAATGGGAAAAAACCACCAAAAACCCCAAACTTTGCCATCTGTGACACATTTACCCCGAACTTTTTTTTGTGACACCAAAAACCCCGAACTTTGCTTTTTGTGACACATTTACCCCAATGTATTTAGTCCATGGGCATTTTCGTCTTTTCTGCTTTTTCTTTTTTTTTTCATTTTTTTTTCCTTTCCGGCGAGGGGGGGCCTCGCCGGCGTCGGCCTCGCCGGATCCGGCGAGGGGGGCCCTCGCCGGCGTCGAGCGAGGGCGGCCCTCGCCAGATCCGGCGAGGAGGCCCTCGCCCGACTCGGGCGAGGTCGACCCTCGCCGACGCCGGCGAGGGTCAACCTCGCTCGAGCAGCGAGGGCGGCCCTCGCTCGCCCAGGCGAGGCGACCCTCGCCGGCGTCGGCGAGGGTCGCCCTCGCCTGGGCGAGCGAGGCCGCCTCGCCCGGCTCGAGCGAGGTTGACCCTCGCCGGCGTCGGGCGAGGTCGACCTCGCTCGAGTCGGGCGAGGGCCTCCCGCGCCGGATCGCGAGGGCCGCCCTCGCTCGGCGCCGGCGAGGGTCGACCTCCGCCTGAGTCGGGCGAGGGCCGCCCTCGCTCGCCCAGGAAAGGGCGAACCTCGCCCGACGCCGGCGAGGGCCGCCCTCGCTCGACGCCGGCGAGGGCCCCCCTCGCCGGATCCGGCGAGGCCGACGCCGGCGAGGCCGACGCCGGCGAGGCCCCCCCCTCGCCGGAAAGGAAAAAAAAAAGAAAAAAAAAAAGAAAAAGCAGAAAAGACGAAAATGCCCATGGACTAAATACATTGGGGTAAATGTGTCACAAAAAGCAAAGTTCGGGGTTTTTGGTGTCACAAAAAAAAGTTCGGGGTAAATGTGTCACGGATGGCAAAGTTTGGGGTTTTTGGTGGTTTTTTCCCTATTCTAATATATTAAAATCAAAGGATATCTCTTACAGCCTTAATTGTTCTCAAGTTCCACATTTTGTTCCTCTTTTATGCACATGTAATCTAGTGCGGTGGGCAATTCCTTGGTAGAGTGGCCTGAACCATGGGTCCATGTGGCTTCAATTCATTTAGCTGTACTGTCTAAGATGTAATAACAGAAGTGTTTCCTTTTGTTGAATAAAAGTATTTTTCGTATTGGATTTCTGCTGCTGGTATTATTATGTATCAAGCCACTTTATCGGCATATTTTGCTTTTTCAGGGTTTGGAAGACAAAGCTTGGCGAACTAAGCAAAGTAGCGTACAACTTCTCGGTGCTATGGCTTTCTGTGCTCCTCAACAACTTTCTCAGTGCCTTCCCAAGATCGTGCCTAAACTGACTGAAGTAAATACCAGAAAACATAATGGCTGATATTCTCTTGGGAAGGTAGAAAAGTATTCATCTCATCTTTCCATTTGCAGGTATTGACGGATACGCACCCAAAAGTTCAGTCCGCAGGGCAAATGGCTCTTCAGCAGGTTATAACCAGCGCTACCTTTGTAGTTGAAGCTCAGTTGATGCCTATTAATATGGCTAATCTTTCTTCTCTTTCAGGTGGGTAGTGTGATAAAAAATCCGGAAATATCTTCACTTGTGCCTACTCTTCTGATGGGTCTTACAGACCCAAATGACCATACCAAATACTCCCTTGATATTCTTCTCCAAGTAAGTCTTGTGGCATTATATTCTATACTTGAGGTCTTGTTGGTTTTGTTGTTTTCTTACTCATATTTGAATGCTGATGAATTGATGCAGACAACTTTCGTAAATTCAATTGATGCCCCTTCACTTGCTCTGTTGGTGCCAATAGTACATAGAGGTTTAAGAGAAAGGAGCGCTGAAACGAAGAAGAAAGCTGCACAAATTGTTGGCAATATGTGTTCATTAGTTACCGAACCAAAGGATATGATCCCTTATATAGGCTTACTTCTTCCTGAAGTCAAAAAGGTATCTTCATGGTTGCTCTTATTGTTGAGTTTGAGATCTTGAAGTACCTGATGTATATGGCATCATTAAAATTTAGGTTCTTGTGGATCCAATTCCCGAAGTACGGTCTGTTGCAGCAAGGGCCCTTGGATCTCTCATCAGAGGAATGGGAGAAGAGAATTTCCCTGATCTTGTTCCATGGCTTCTTGATACTCTTAAATCCGATGGTAGCAATGTTGAGCGTTCTGGAGCTGCCCAAGGATTGACTGAGGTCTTTTTTTTGCCCAATATGATTCTCTCTCTCTCTCTCTCTCTCTCTCTCTCTCTCTCTCCCTGCACACACACACACACACACTCCTAATTACTTTAGCCATTTTTAAGCATATGCACTTTGTCCTTTGTTTGTTGCTACTATTGGAATTGCAGGGTTGTTGCAGCTCATTAATCAAGTTTTACAATTACTTATAGAAGAAAGCAATGTCTTACATCAGGGTTGTTGCAACTCATTAATCAAGTTTTACAATTACTTATAGAAGAAAGCAATGTCTTACGTCAGTCTACGTAACTTAGATATTTAGAAGACATGTTTGAATTTAATTAATGTGCTGCTAGATATTTCATGTTGTGTCAAACTCGTACTTTGTAGGGTGTTTGGTCTGTACTAGTTACAATCTGAGCAAGACAATCATTGTTACCCTAGCCTTTTCTGTCGAAAACTCAAACCTCTGTTCCTAAGACAATCTGTTTAATCTGTGTGAAAGTTTAATTTGTTTTTTCAAATGGTTCTGTTCATGTCCATTGTGCCAACATGTTGTATGGGAACCATTGTGTTAATGTAGACCTCCAAGCAGTATTTGCTTTTTAATTAAAGCTACGTCGCTGAGCCGACATTTACAGTTCATTGTTTTGCTACTGCAAGTACTCTATGACGACTGTTCTCTTGCGTGTTGTATGCATATGCCTTCTTACTCTCTATGAAGTACATTAGAGCTTGATGCTTGTAAGCTTCAATTTAAAATTTAATGATTGTGTAAAATAAATTCTTCGCAAGTTGGCAACTCTCTTTCCTGGACTTGTCAGGATATAAAATCCCATTTTTCCTAATTTATCATCATTTGTCAACTGAAGCATCATACTGTTTCATTGTGAGTATAGATCTATACTCTTTCAGAGCTGTGTAGTTTATAGCTGACATTTGGTTTGTGGTACATCCAGGTTTTGGCTGCTCTTGGTATGGCATATTTTGAGACCTTACTTCCTGACATAATCCGTAATTGTTCTCACCAGAAGGCATCTGTCCGGGATGGGTATTTGACACTATTTAAGGTGAAAAAATTGAACAACATATTATTTTCTTTCTGAATTTGGAGACGACTCCTGAAGTTCTTGATCAAGTTACTCACCCATGAGTTTATTTCTTTTTATTTTTTTGCTTTTTGCTGATTTTGTCTATCTGCCACTATTACATAATGTCCACGGGTGTACAGTTATCTGCATGTGTACTATTTTGGAAATTGGAAAACAGGTGTGCATGTGCTATATCAATCATTATTATATTCATTATGTTGATGTGTTTCCTATGGATATCATTTGCAGTACTTCCCCCGGTCTTTGGGTGTCCAATTTCAGAACTATCTGCCGCAAGTGTTGCCTGCAATATTAGATGGTACTTGTCCTTTCTCTTTTACGGATAGACATCTCATGCCAAAAAAATACTTGCGTAGAATATCTCTGAAATAATATTGTTCCATACTCTTACAGGTCTAGCAGATGAGAATGAATCTGTACGAGATGCGGCACTGGGTGCTGGGCATGTTTTAGTGGAACACTATGCAACTACGTATGCAATCTTGTGTCTTGATGCTTTTAAGACTGATCGTATGCTTAAACACATGCAATCTCACATTAAAAGCAAATGCATTGACATAGTGAAGATTGGTCATTCAAGTACATGTCTGGAGTCATCTGATATATGGTGCATCCGTGCATGCATAACGCATTTGACATTTGAATATTACAAAGAAGGAATCATTATAGGTGAATAGTAAAAGGTAGCAATTTTTGGCTTTGTGGAATTATTATCTTTCTGTAGTTGGGAGTTCATATATTGCAGCACTCTTATGTGATTAAACTTGCATAGTTGGGTAGTGTTTTCTCTGTCATTGTAATAGTTAACTGAGTCATTAGTAGATGCATACGCAGCATGTGTATGATAGTATTTATGTAATGGGCAAAATATATGTTCAAATTTGTGTACACAACTTACTATTTTCCCGATAAATGAGTAAAGTAGTCTTTGCAACCTGTCATGACTTCTGAACCTGAACAATCAATTTCTATGTCCAATTACAGGTCTTTACCTCTACTCCTTCCAGCTGTGGAGGATGGCATCTTCAACGACAGTTGGCGTATCCGCCAAAGTTCTGTCGAATTATTGGGTGATCTGTTGTTTAAAGTATGTCATAAGGAACTGTTACAAGTCTTGTATCATTCAGAAAGCCAAATGCTATATGTCTAATCTTTTTGCTATTTAGGTTGCTGGAACATCTGGAAAAGCTTTGCTTGAGGGTGGTAGTGACGATGAAGGTTCTAGTACTGAAGCACATGGACGTGCTATAATTGAGGTTCTTGGAAAGGACAGGCGCAATGAAGTTCTTGCAGCCCTCTATATGGTTCGAACTGATGTGAGCGTATCCGTACGTCAGGTAATGAAGCCAAAATATATCAGTGAGCGTGTTATGTGGCTGAAATAGAGTTCTCCGTATCGTATTTATTGTATTATTGAGCATCATATTTCTGTTTCATCAGGCTGCTTTACATGTTTGGAAGACTATAGTTGCGAATACTCCAAAGACGCTGAAGGAAATAATGCCAGTTTTGATGAATACTCTGATCAGTTCCCTCGCATCATCTTCTTCCGAAAGGCGTCAGGTTTCCACTTGCATTCTGAAGCTGGTGTTTTCTTGAAGACGTCATATGATCAATTTATAATAATAATGTTGCCCTTGTAGGTTGCTGGAAGGTCACTCGGTGAGCTTGTCAGGAAGCTTGGTGATAGAGTTCTTCCTATGATTATCCCTATTTTAGCACAGGGGCTGAAAGACCCTAATGCTGGGAGAAGACAAGTGAGATTTTTGCTCTTACTTTTCCCATTCAATTTATCAGTTTGTAAGTGAGACTTCACCTAAGGACGTTCTTTGCTTTCTTTAGGTCATTCTCTAAAGGGAGGGAGGGAGTCTTAAAATTTTTGCCGTACAGTTTCCCCAATTAAGATGAAACTTGATCCCTGATTCTAATAAGTATAATTTTTATTAGGATTAGGAATTTCCAATTGAAAAAAATCCATTTTCTCAATCAACTATTATTTTATTCTATTTAAGCTATTTTATGTAGAAACAAGGATGTTAACTAGATTAGTAATTGAATGTACCTAAACATATAAGATAGATAAATAAATATATTAAATATATAGAATAAAGAAATAAAAAAGAAAAATAAATAAAGAATGAACAGTTTATCCTGGTGTCACATATTGAATACTTACAGATTTTGTAATATCTTATAGGGTGTGTGTATCGGTCTGAGTGAGGTGATGGCCAGCGCTGGTAGGAGTCAGTTATTGGCTTTCATGGACGAGCTTATTCCTACCATCCGGACTGCACTTTGTGATAGGTTAGTTTTTCTCTCATTGTTTATCTCCCTTTATTTGGTTTATATACTGCTACTGAAAACTTCAATTTGCTCTCATTTCAACAGCATGCCTGAGGTTCGGGAAGCAGCAGGCCTGGCATTTAGCACCCTTTACAAGGTTTTTTTCCTCCCTTTTCGTTAAAGCATATTGTGAAGTAGAAACTTACTAAAATATTAATTTGAAAACCTATGTTGCAGAGTGCTGGAATGCAAGCAATCGATGAAATTGTCCCAACACTTCTGCGTGCATTGGAACATGATCAGTCCTCTGATACTGCTTTGGACGGCCTCAAACAAATCTTAAGGTAAACTACAGGGTTATTTGGGTACCTTTGTTTGCATTCTCTTTCTCACTTTGGGTGCACTAATTTTCTGTGTATGTAAATCCAGTGTAAGAACTGCAGCCATTTTGCCTCATATACTGCCCAAGCTGGTTCAACTCCCCCTATCGTATGTGCCTACTTCCTCATTGATTGATATTTTCATCATCATATCACATAATTGCTTCTTCAATCAAGCTTTACTTGTGTAGTGCCTTCAATGCACATGCCCTGGGTGCACTAGCAGAAGTTGCTGGACCTGGTTTAAACTTTCATCTGGGCACTGTGCTTCCAGCATTACTTTCTGCCATGGGCGGTGACGATGTGGTACATTCATTATAGTCTCTACTGAATGTTCTCAGCCCTGACATATCTTTTTCTTTTTTCGTTGCACTTTATTTATATGCTGGGAAAACTTAGTTTCACGACCAATTTTCAGGAAGTTCAAACGGTGGCAAAGGAGGCAGCGGAAACTGTGGTTTTAGTGATAGATGAAGAAGGCATTGAGTCTTTACTTTCAGAACTTCTTAAGGGCGTTGCTGATAGTCAGGTACATTGTTTAAAATTTTATGTTCCTTCTAGGCTTGACTCATGTTCCTATACCATGACTCCTGTCTCATTGTCTATATTGCTGACTCTGGCTTCAGGCATCAATTAGGAGGAGTTCTTCCTACCTTATTGGCTACTTGTTTAAGAACAGCAAGCTGTATCTGGTAGATGAAGCTCCAAACGTTATATCTACCTTGATTGTTCTACTGAGTGACCAAGATTCAGCCACTGTAGTGGTATGTTTTATGACAACTATTTTTTCTTCTCAACAGGTCCTTGAACTTGTAATCTCCATTCCTTATTGTCATTGAACAGGTCTCGTGGGAGGCTTTGTCAAGGGTGGTTGGTTCTGTTCCTAAGGAGGTACTTCCTTCGTATATAAAATTGGTACGAGATGCAGTATCTACTTCCAGGGATAAAGAGCGTAGGAAAAAGAAGGTGAGCAAGCGATACATGTGGGGTATTTTATCCTAATTTATTGGGCTTGCAGATTGGATCTTTTGTGAAATTCGACATGCTTTTACTTTCAGGGTGGTCCTGTTCTCGTGCCTGGGTTTTGTCTCCCAAAAGCTCTTCAGCCAGTGCTTCCAATATTTCAGCAAGTACTGCCTTCCCTCCTTGTCTTGCTCTTCCTTTTCTTATTCTTTAGCAACTTAGGAAATTATATATATGGATTATGTTGTTGACAGTACTAATGGCTTAGTTTCACAAGAACTTGTATGATCCTACTATGGTTTGGTCAATATGCTTGATGAACAATTGAGTATGTTGTTTGCCTTCAAAGACATGGACATTGGTGGATGTTGACAAATCGTGTAGAAGGTATGAAAGAGATTGATAGTAGTTATATCAGGGCCATAACAGTGCAAGCCATGTGTAGCGGCATTGCTTATAATTGTTTTTGTTTTACAATTCAACAACAGCCTCGAGAGAGAATTCCACTGGAAACCAAAGCTACAGCGGATCGTGTTAGGTGGTAAAGTAACATGTTGTTTTATTGCTATGTCGATGCAGCTGTTGAAAATCAAAACTCCGTAACCTACAGCTGTTCATTGTCTGAAATTTAAGCCTCAGAGTTTTTCAGTATCGAGGAAAGATTATTCTAACTCTTCCATCCTTTGCTTTTACAGATCTGTAAAAATTTTATGGCTAACACTGCCAACTTTCATCTGAATTCTAGTGTTGTGTTTAATGATTGGTAGTAAGGTTGAAGATTCGATTATGGGACGAAAACGTAGGTTGAAAGGGTTGAGGGAATATCTAAGCAAACGTGGAAGAAGATGATAAGGAAAGATGGATATTTAGATTTTACAGAGGTCCTGATGAATTATAACTCATGGCAAAAACACAAAAGAATATATGCAATCAACACTACTTAGTGGCAGGCCTGGTGGTTGTTATTGCAATAGTAAGGTTGTAGGACGGTAATGTCAGCCTATGGCAAAATGGATATTGAGATACTTATGTCTTCCTTTATGAGTTTTATTGTCAGATATGCATTGTCAGCTTTTGGTTACTTTATCAGTGGTGTTACTGGATTTTATTTCTTTTTGCACGCAATAATAACATGCTGAGTTAAGGCACGGGAACTTATTAAAAAAATGAATGAGAAAGCAAAGGAATTTGCACCGTCTTTTTTATGACAGTTTTGGTTGCACGCATCTGTTGACAGCAGTCTTGATGTGTGTGTCCATGATGTCTATATAAGGTTTTGTACAATGTTGTTTGTTCCTTGTCCTGCTGACCGCATTCTTTCTATGAGGCACAGCTATAGGTTTTCTGACTCATGCTAATAATAGAACTTACCTCAAGACTTACAAAATAACTCTCGAGCTTTAATAATCAATAGTGCATTTGAAAGTACTGAAGCTTATTTTTGGCTCCAAGGATATTGAAAAAAATATTATTGATGTGTTTCATTAGCTCCTGTTTTATATCCAAAATACGTCAAATTTGATTGAGCAGCAAGTTCAGCCTCTTATTACATCTTTTGTCCTTACAGGGTCTAATGAGTGGATCTGCCGAATTAAGAGAACAAGCAGCACTAGGACTTGGAGAGCTGATTGAAGTGACAAGTGAAAAGGCTCTAAAGGAGTTTGTAATCCAAATAACAGGGTATTGGTTTCTTGGATTTCTTGCTCTAAATGATCCCAACATCTGAGATCTAGTTGACTGGACTTCATTTTAAAAAAAATTTGACTGGAATTTGTAAATCGGTAGTTATTGAGAACTACATTCGTAGTACTTACAGCCTAAATTTTTGCTTCTTGTTTTTAGAAATTGTTAAGACATGCTGCTAAACTTATGGAAAATTTGGAAAGTTGAAATAAATTTTCTTTTGTGAAGTCATTTGGGGAAACTAGAGAATGCTCTTTAAATCTAATAATCCTTTTAGTTTGTCATTCTTTAGTTCTTGATTGTGACTTTAACAACTCAAGTAACTACTTTTCCCCCATAAATCTTATTGTCTTGGGACCCTATTTCTTCTTTGATTAGACTATTAATTCGGTAATTGATGCATGTCGTCTTTGTATGGTTAATGTCTTAATTTGCATGAGCTACCAATCGTTCAACTTTTTCCTTCCCTAACATTTAAACTGCGTGTGGATGCAGACCACTTATCCGGATAATAGGTGATCGGTTTCCTTGGCAAGTGAAGAGTGCAATATTATCCACTCTAAGCATCATACTAAGAAAGGGAGGATTGGCTCTGAAGCCTTTTCTTCCTCAGCTGCAGACGACTTTTGTCAAATGTCTCCAGGACAATACAAGGTAGGGGCAATACATTGTATGTTATTCTTGCAGGGAATGCCTTTGTTTTGGAGGAACGTTCCACTCCCTCTTGTTGTGGATCTTGCTTTTGCATTTTATACTTGTTAATGTGAACATTCCTCTCCCTCTTGTTGTGGATCTTGCTTTTGCATTCTATACTTGTCAATGCTGTCCATGTTGATGCATGTTCAAATTAATCAGGAGTGTCCGCTCAAGTGCTGCCCTTGCCCTTGGAAAGCTCAGTGCTCTCAGTCCCAGGATTGACCCCTTAGTCAGTGACCTGTTGTCCAACTTGCAGGTAATGCTTGTTGTCTTTCTTGATGCACAATGTCCTGGAAAGACTATTATGTAACAGATTGAATCTGGACTGCCCTCAGGCTTCGGATGCTGGAATTAGGGAGGCCAATTTGACTGCTTTAAAAGGGGTGGTGAAGTATGCTGGAATGAATGTGAGCAGTGCTGTCAAAAATCGGGTGTACGTGCTCCTAAAAGATATGATTCATCACGATGATGATCAAGTTCGAATATCTGCTGCAGACATATTGGGCATCATATCTCAGGTCTCTCATAAGTACACCAGGCCTTTTTTTTTTTTTGCTTTTATGTCCTCCATGCTGTGTCTTGTTATCTTTAAGAATGAGACAAACTGTAGAACTTGCCCATGGAGTTGTTATTGGGATATCTGTTCATATTTGGTTAATCACATCACTGCTTTTCAGAGTCAACATTTCTATAATGCATGGATGGACTTGCCTTGGTTTTAGTCATATTTGGTGACAACTGACCATTCATCCTTTTGATGTTGATAATATAGTACATGGAAGATGCCCAGCTGAATGATCTTATTGAAGAACTCCTGACATTGGGTTCTTCTTCAAGCTGGTCCGCAAGGCATGGATCAGTGCTTACGATAGCATCAATGCTCCGGCATAATCCTTCGACTGTCTGTGGATTGCCATCATTCCTGCCTACTGTTGACTTACTTAAAGGCGGTTTAACTGATGAGAAGGTGGTTTCATTCTGCAGAATCTAAACTTATCTTTTTGATATTTTACTCGTACAAATCTCTGACAAACTTTCTCTCTCTTAGTTTCCTATTCGTGAAACCTCAACCAAAGCCATGGGAAGACTACTACTCCATCAAAGTCGAACTGATCCTAGTAACACCAGTGCGCATTCAGATATTATGTTGTTCATTGTATCTGCTCTGCACGATGATTCCAGCGAAGTTCGAAGAAGGGCGTTATCGTCTCTAAAATCTGTTGCAAAGGTACGTACAGTTTTCCATTGAGTACCTATCTCTTGTGTACTGCAAAGTTATATGTGCTCTCAGGACTCATCTTTATTACAGGTCAATCCCACAATATTATTGGCCAATCTTTCAATTGTTGGCCCTGCACTCGCGGAATGTTTAAAGGATGCCAGTATGCCAGTGAGAGTTGCTACAGAGAGATGTTGTCTACACACTTTCCAATTGACGAAGAGTAATTTCTTTTTCCTCTCTTTTCTGTTTTGAAATAATCTCCCATTAATATGATGTGCATTAGTTCAATATGTCCTCCCTTTCTGACTTCCAGAAATTGATCTAGCACCACTTCTTCTAACGCGGCACTCTCCTATACAGGTGCTGAAAATGTTCAGGCAGCACAAAAATACATCACTGGTCTAGACGCTAGAAGGATATCCAAGTTACCTGAACAGAGGTAATATCTTTTTTTAAGAGTGGCATGTCATTGCTATCTCATTTATGACTTCAACTGGGCTTAAATATTTTGTTGCTATTTTTTCCTTCGGTGGTTTCAGTAAAGATCTATGAAAATGGCCGCCCTTGAATGTGTACATTATCAAATAGTATATTCTAATTAACCACATTGCATTCGTCCCATGAGGAACGGCTTTTTGATGTAACAGGCACATAGAGAACTTGCTTCACCATGCTAAAAGTCATTAGGACAGTCATGCTTATGTGTTCCATTGAGAGTATTTGCATTTATGGCCTTTTCCTTCTCAGTGAATTCCTCTTTTTATTGACTTTTGTATTAGTGGAAAAATAAGGTGGGAAGTAGACACTGCATCCATATATTTTACGGATGAAAAGTCGCAGGGTTTTCTCTTTCTTGGCAACTTACAAGTGAACTCTTTAGTACATTGGCACGCCTTCACAATTGTTTTGGTCTCTTGTTTAGTTCATATGAAGTACAATCTAATTATCCATGTACCATGTTGTCGCTTTTTTTACGATGATGTTACTCACCTAAGTTGGTTGCCTCAATTTTTTTTATGGTTCTGAATATTTGATATGCAGTGATGATAGTGAAGGCGGCGAAGATGACGGGACGAGTGGCTAAAATTTTGGTTGCTGGTCCACTTTATTTTATAATCCTGTTTATACAAGGTTGGCAAGATTTATACAAGGATGGATTACCACAGCCAAATTCTGCTATAAATTGACATCCCAAGGATGTGGACTGACAGCACGAGGGGTGTCCTCCCTTACCAGGGTCGGTTTCCCTTGAGGCTCGATGGTCGATCAAATGCTCGATCAACAACAAGCGGTGTGCATGTGATACCCGTTTTTTGTACCTTGAATAAATATTGCCAATTAAGGAGTGCCTTTTTTTTTACTCGAATTATGCGCACCGATATTTTCCAAGGGTGTTCGGTTTTGATTCCGCATCAAGAATTTTTCTGTCATTCTTTGCGGCTACTACAGGTCATTGTACCAACACAGTTTTGATAGCAGCAGTGTAAACGTGGGAAAACTACTGGCTAACACCTTTTACAATATCATAGTTTCTGCTTTGCCCGATGATTTGTTTCGCACTGCCGTCGTCGTGGTGAAGTCCGAAAGACTAAGACATCGCTTTATGATCATGTTTGTTTTTTCTTTTGGGTTGGTACCAACCGGGAGATCTTTGCGGTTATCTTCCCTTAGCCGTCAAAGGAGGTCTTGTGCATACGCTACACGTTCGCGTCTTGCCTTTGAAGCGAGCTCCTTTTTGAGTGGCTTGTACAGCCTTTTACGTGCTATGTCTAATCATAAAGGTGACAATATCTAACGCTTTATCCCCATTTGCCTAATGGGAGGAGGGTATGAAGCATGATTCGATAAACGAAAATCTCGCGGTCGCCCCGGGTCGCAAGAGTAATTCCTCATGGATCTCGACAACGAAGCAGTGTTCGATTCAGTCTATCGATGCTCGACATTGTCGAGTCAAAGTTAAGGGCGACGAAGTCTAGGCTGACGACCAAATTTCTCTTCAATGAGAGAAGAAGAAGAAGAAGCGTTCGAGAATAGAAGCTCACAGCATTTATTATAACTCTCACACTTGGAATTTTTTATGCATGAATTTAATGATTCAACGTTCCCTAAGATGCACACCCACATGGAGATGAGTGCATGGTATCTCAGATCAAGGACTTCCTCCCACAAAAATTACAAAAAAATAATAATATTCAAAGTTGAAAACAGCCCAGCATAGAAGCATCCCCGATACATTGAAATTTCCAATCACGAACAGCTAATTTTCCCTTCCTTGGGTTTCATCAAACCTCACAAAGTCCAAACCCTAGATGCTTGTTTCTCTCCCAATAGAAAAAAGAACACATCATATAATAGCTACAAAACAAGGTCTCGTATGACTTCCTAGCTCTCCTTTTTGTTTATTAACTAACTCTGTTCGTTAATTAGTAGAGTACGATGCTAAATTGTTTGTGCATGCATGGTCAAAGGGATTAGGCCAGCGCGTTTCGAGATGAGCGGAAAAAATGTCGAACTCTAGTCGGATCATAAGTTTATAACTCATTCGATCCTTTGAAATAAAGGTGTCAATGTTAATATTCGTGTCTCTTGTCACAAGTTCGAATCACTAGCATAAGTCTCCGGAATGCACAAGGACTAAAATCTTAAAAAGTTGCGTGCTTTTTAAAAGGACAGATAAAATAAAAACATATGTTTTGATCGTATTTATTACAAATCAGACCACTTGTCAAACGACACCTGTTTCAAGAAATATCTTATGATTATTTCCTCGTGTGTCCTTTCAATCTGTACCAGCACTGTAAATGAATTGAATCCAATGCGGTAAATGTGTTCAAACGCCGATGATGATGGCGAGTTACGGCTCTCTTCTTCCACAGCATTCAATATGGTGTTTGAATTAGGACTAAATGCATGTGGAGGTACACTCTTCTTATTTTTTGGTCTTCTGTTCGTTCCCTGAAGGTGTTGACACATCATATTCACATTTGGCTACAAATACACCTACATTTTAGGTAGAGAAGGAGGAGAGATGTGGGGTCAGTGCCACGTGGCGTCGACCCAATGAGGGAGGGCATACAAATTGGGTGGTGCTATGGAGCTTTGGAGAGAGAAATAGGGTGGGAGAAAGCTTGAGCAGCAGTGAATGGAAAGACTGGGAAGGGAAGAAAAATGAGAGGGAGGAGAAAGTTTGAGAGAGAGAGAGAGAGAGAGAGGGAGAGGGAGTATTAATGGCAAAGTGTATGGTGGCAGATGCACACATTGAAGGAGTGCAATAAAAGGGTTGGGCTGTTGAAACTTGAATGAGTTGTGGGTAGGTTTGAGTTTTTATAATGCCTCCTCTCTTCTGATCTCTCTCGGAAACCCCAAAAGGGAAGAGCTTTGAACTCTCCGTCTCTCTTTCAATTTTCTTTTCTCATGGGTCTTTTGGGGTGCAACTCCAAAGCAAATGCACCCCAGGAACACAAAGTGATTGAACACAACACACACGTACTTAATATTGAATCAGATACTGCAGCAGGGAGGCAGTGATGGTCTTCTTTGGTTTAGCTGCATATCTTCATTTAATCTCAGCCCCCACCTTTCCTTCTCACCATTAACTCTCTCTCTCTCTCTCTCTCCCTCACAACACACACACACACACACACGAAGTGGGTTGGGTTGGGGTCATTTTCTTGGTATATATCCTTTTAATGGGTCTGTATAGGTGTTTGGAGTTGGTAGAGACAAAGGTGAATTTGGGTTTCTGCAGCAACCTGGTCTTGCTAGTAATGGCGGTATAGTTCTTGCGTTTCCTTTTCCTTTGTTGTCTCTCTCGCTCTCAGTGTTGTTTTCTTCCTCTTGGCACTGAATGAGATACACAAGGATAATGGGCGTCTTTCAAAGAAGGAACACACGTCTCCTTCCTCCTCCTCCTCCTCCTCATCTTCTTCTTCCTCTTCTTCTTGTGGGCCTCTATTTCTCCATCTTCCTCCAGACATCTTCCGCTCTAAATTACACCGACTATAGACAAGTTAGTAGCTTGAGATTACAGAGGATCCAGAGGCACCTGGACAAGATTAACAAGCCACCCGTCATGACCATTGAGGTATGTACTTCCATTTTCCTTCCTTTTTCTTTCTTTGATGATGAGCTTATTATTTGCTGATCAGCACTTGCATTTTTGCAGTACATATTTGACTTATTTTTCTTTTGTTGGTTGGTTAAACTTGTTGCAATTTGCAGAGCCCAGATGGAGATGTCATAGACTGTATCCACAAGAGAAGACAGCCAGCTTTGGATCACCCCCTTCTAAAGAATCACAAGATCCAGGTGCACCAGCAAAAACAATATTTCCTTCCTTTCTTTCTGTTCATTTACTTATTTTTACTACACATCTGCTCGAAACACTGGGCAAATGGAGAGAAATGCAAGCTTTTATATATTGCTCTTTTGGGGGAATATTAGTATATATTTCATAGCAAGTTGGACTTCTTCATGCGTTTCTAGCTGTTCATCCTACGTCAAGCTACCAAAATGCAGTTTGGTTTAGTGCAGCAAAATGTGAAAAAAAAATGGAAAATCTAGAGTAGTATATCAAAATCATCAATAATTTGAAGCTGCATATGTCAAAATAAATAAATAAATATATATATAGAGTCTTTGAAAAATATTTTAAACATATAGTTTGATATGCAAAATGAGAAAAGAGGGAAAAAGAAAGACTCCTTTTGATTCTTTTTTCATATCAGTTGTAGCTTTTACGTGAAGAAGAATAGTGACTGAATAAATATGATCTTGGGGCAACAGAAAGTGCCACCAGAAATGCCCCAGAGGAGATCCACCATGGGCAAACCGGACGACGCTACCTCGGCCCCGAGCAACGGCGGCGAAGCCGCAGCAAAGGGCGCATGGCAGACGTGGCACCGGAACGGCACGCGGTGCCCAAGGGGCACAGTCCCGGTGCGGCGCAGCACGGCGCACGACGTGCTGAGGGCCAAGTCCCTGTTCGACTTCGGCAAGAAGCAGCGCGCACTGGCCCTCGCGCGGCGGCAGCCCGACGCCCCGGATGTAGTCAGCGGGAATGGCCACGAGGTACACCGCACCACACCCCGCCCTCTCTCTCGCCCTCGCTCTCTCTCTCTGTTCAAAGTGCACCGACTTTTCCTTTTCGCAACTTACTATTAGAACATCGATTCATACAAATTGGTAAACACAATTTTGTTCCTGCCATACAATTCAATTGGAGATAGATCAATACCACAATGTGCATATCACACATAATTTCTGACTTCTCCAGGCATTCAATAGGATCTTGGTCAGGGTTGAGCGTGAGAGTGACGTGACCACAAGAACTTGTTCACCATCTTGTCCCAGTCGAAAAGCTTAGTAAAATCGAATCCCAAAAAAAAAAAAAGGGCTTAGTAAAAATTAGAATTTTAATTAAAAAAATATATGCCTTGAATTTTGTAGTAATAATTAGGTAAGTGGGAGGAAGCGGATCATGTCACATTTATTTCAGTGGGATCCCAATCGATTCGGGTGATGTTTCTTAACTCCCAATTTAAGGCTCCTATGCTCATAATACGACAACATGGTATCATGTCCTTTTCATTTGTTTTTCTCAACACACACCTCCAAAAAGATATTTATCGTTTTCCTAAGTTTAATTAAATATATCGACACGTAAATATCAACCGGCCCTATCGAGTCGACTCGAGCCGAATCAACAGATCTTAATCCGATCCCGAGCCGGCGTGATCGAAAGCTTGTAATGTGATCTCTTTTTCCGCGGGATTTCATCGGCTTTTCTTGATACGTGATTGGCTTGATCCGGGCATCGTGATTGATCTTTTGGTTTTTGGGGGTTTTGGTTTGGGGTTGCACGAACGGGCAGCATGCGATCGCGTACACGGGATCGACGCAGGAGGTGTACGGGGCGAGGGCGACGATAAACGTGTGGGACCCGTCGATCGAGGAGGTCAACGAGTTCAGCCTATCACAGATCTGGGTACTCTCCGGATCATTCGACGGCTCTGATCTCAACAGCATCGAGGCCGGATGGCAGGTTCCTCCTTCCTTCTCCCTGCGCTCCCCCGCACCCAATCCCCACCCCCACCTCCCCACCTCCCCACTTTTTTTTTATATTTTATTTGTTTTTTCCCACCCATTTAATATTTAGAGAAAGTTTGACCCCAAAAAAAATATGTATATATAGAGAAAAGAGAAAAGGAAGAGGAGGAGGAGGAGAAGAAGAATCTTCATTCATTCCGAGAATATCGTCTTCCAAAGTTAGAAAAAAATTGTATATATTAAACCCCAATTTCCTCACATATCTTGAATTTTAAAAAAGGGAATTAAATAAAATAAAATAAAATAAATTATTGCTTTGCTTTTTTTAATTATGCTTAGAGTTAATTTTTCTAAAGCTTTGATTGTTCTACTAGTCAGGTCAGTCCAGAGCTCTACGGTGACAACCGGCCTAGACTATTCACGTATTGGACGGTCAGCTCTCTCTCTCTCTCTACTGTCGAGCTTTGCATTCAATTCGGTTTTTTTTTATTATATGAGAATAGCCAGTTAATCCACATTTTTTTAATGAAAGAATATTAAAATTTATATATGCATGCATTACACCTATAGTTCAGCCGACAATTGCGCGCACAAATGGGGGAGGCGCCATATAGAGTCAAAAGTCAAACTTCAAACTTCAACCTTCATTGGTCGATGAGACAATTTCTAAAAAAAAAAACTATACTATTTTAAAATAATTTATACATTATAATCAATCCATAAATAAAACAAATTAAATAAGACGGAAAATCTAAGCATAAACAACAACCATGAAAGAGACGGCCACGTGGCACTGTTTGGAATTAGGGCAATAAACCCCCACGTGCCAAACATTACTTCAGATCCATTCCCAAAAATCTCTTTGTCACGTGCACAGATCGTTGCGTGCCGAACACTGCATGATTTTCCCCCTATTTATGACGTCATCATCCGAAGAATAGTTCGTGTTATTTTTGGACCAACGCTAATTTATTTTTCCATTAAAAGGGTCCAAGTTGATTTGACTTCTTTTTTTATTTTTAAAATACTCATTAAAATTAGGAAATAATTTATAGGTGATGATGGTTCAAGTTTCAGTTTTCACAAGAAAGTGACGGATTCGCCGCCATATCATCAACTTTCATTTTGCATGCATGCATGGCGAGATCTTTTGCAATTCCAAAAAAATAAATTAAAAATAATCGGACGAATTATCGAGAGGTGGTGGTTTTTATGGAATCTCGATTCGACAGAGCGACTCGTACCAGGCGACGGGGTGCTACAACCTGCTGTGCGCGGGGTTCGTGCAGACGAACAGCAGGATCGCGATCGGGGCGGCGATCTCGCCGGTCTCGACGTTCTCCGGCAGCCAGTTCGACATCACCATCCTCATTTGGAAGGTTCGATTTTCGTCTCGTGTTTTTTTTCCCATTTCGATCTTTTTACATTATATGGTCGACCAACATTGTGAAGTATTGATTTTTAGGATCCAAAGCTGGGGAACTGGTGGATGGGCTTCGGGGACAACACGCTGGTGGGGTACTGGCCGACGGAGCTGTTCACGCACCTGGCTGACCGCGCGACGATGGTGGAGTGGGGCGGCGAGGTGGTGAACTCGCGGCCCGACGGTGGCCACACCGCCACCCAAATGGGGTCGGGCCGGTTCGCCGAGGACGGGTTCGGCAAGGCCGGGTACTTCCGCAACCTCGAGGTCGTCGACGCTGACAACAGCCTCAGCTCGGCCCAGGGCATCTCCACCCTGGCCGAGAACACCAACTGCTACAACATTAAGAGCTCCTACAGCAACGAGTGGGGCACGTATTTCTACTTCGGCGGGCCCGGGAAAAACCCGCAATGCCCATGACCCGACCCGTGTAAAATATTTTTGTGATCATCGTGATTAATCGGGCTTAGATAAAAAATTTGATCACTGGTCGTATTAATTAGTAGTGAAAGCGAAATCGATTAGTCTCTCCCAGCTTCCTTGTCTAATGTAATTCTTTGATTATGTAATTAATTAAGCAATTTCGCGCTATTTTCCGCTAAATTTCCCAGCCCCTCAAAGATTTTTTTCCGCTCGCCCCCACCTTCGTTTTTGCTACTTTAATCGAGTTATGTTTGGCCCGAGCAACGGCACGATGACAAAACATCGAGAAGACTACTTGAAGTTTGGTTAAGTCTGATTAATTAGAGCTAAGTATAAACTATAAAGCAATCTCTCACATATTAAGCATTTCCCTAAGCTCAAGATTATACTTCAGTTAACTTAATCTCCAACTCCTAATGGGTTTGTTCAAGACGACGAAATGAATCTATTAACCCCACTTGATTAATCAATTACGGGACAAATCCATAGCGAACCTTCTTTTTAGCTTAATTGAAAGCATCGTTCCCTCAATTTCGCCACATCCACGGTGGTGATTCCTAATGGCAATTGGCCGAAATGACTAATTAGAATTTCGCGTAAAGGTTTGAGGCAACAATAGCAAAAATTAGAAAGTTATAATAGAATTGACATCCGTAACATGTTTAGAACCGAATTGGTAATTTTCTCGTGTACGTTTGGAGCAACAATTGGTGTTGTTTATCTCGAGAATATAGTTGATTTAACTTAATCTTGAATAGCTAATGGGCTTGTGCTTGTTCTGTACACTATAGCAAATAAATGCTCCATTTGTTTTGCGGAAAATATTTTTTTTTCATTTTCCGGCATTTGGTTCGCTTAGAAAAATGAGTTAATGGAAAACCTATGTTTAAATTCTAGAAAATAATTTCCTCTTTGAAAAATCGAAAAACATTTTTCAAAACGTGACAGGATATCGGCGCTTAGACCCGAAACTCTATGCTTGGACATGAAAACCCCAGCATCGGTTCTTGGGTCCTTAGTGTTTTGGGACAGGTCTCCAGAGCCTGGGCCCGGGTACATCGAGGCCAAGCTCAAAGCCCTGGTGCCTATGCCTGATGCTCGCACCTGAGCCCAGGTGCATAAAGGCCATGCTTGGATCCTTGATGCTCGAGCTCTAGTCCCCGGCTAAATTTGTGTTTCTTCAAGTCTTTACTCCCTCCATTGTTAGGGTATGCAAAACGGACCGCTCAAATTAAGAACCAGGTTTTTCTTTCGAGTTGGGGTTATAAACCCAAAAATTCCTCCGCAAAACCTTAAAACCCTAAATGCCCGAAAGCCCCTCTCCCTGCTCTCCCTCTCCCTCTCCCTCTTTTTGCTCTCTCTCTCCCTCTCCCTCTCCCTGTTCTTGTTGTTCTCTCTGTTCTCAATCTCTCGCCTTCTATGGACCCGAACCAAATAGGAGCTATCTTCGGCGGGGCGTACTATACCCTTTTTGACCACAACCATCTGCTCATTCTTCAATACTTCGGCCCTAATTCTCATGTCGATTTCGACACCATTCTTTTTGCTTCTTCCTTGGCCTCACCGGCCTTGGGTGTGTTGGAGCTAACAATACAACTTAGAAGGGGGGTGAATAGGTTGTTTAAGAACTATGAAACACATTTGCTGAATATAACAAGTTCAACTTAAAACATTAGTAGAAACAGTTTGTAGAAATCAAGTGCATGCTATTGTTTAATAAATCGTAATAATAATGATCAAGCTGTCACGACCTAAATTTCTCAGGCTAATAGATTATTAAGACTAAGCCTAACTCGGGCCCTCCCAAGCCCTACCAATTCGCAACTCAGGGTTTAAGTTTTTAACATACAAAAGTTTTCATGCTTGGAGTCGCCACTAATTTATTTGTGGTAGGTCGATTAGAAACCTAAATAAAACATAGGGAGATATGTTTTATTCCTACGAACCAGAGATTCTAAGCTCGAGGACTTGATTACGCTAGATCTAATCTAACGCTCTTTCGGTACCTTTTCTTTTCAAAAAATATTTATGCAGGTAGTCTGGATCCATTTTATTACCTAGTCACTAACATGTGAGGTATTCATGCGGGTGCGCAAACCACCAATTTAACACCCAAGAAAGCAATAAATAGATTGCAAGATTAGGAGAATGACGTACCTTAATACAACGCAAGCATCTACATTGTTAGTAGAAAATCATATAGACAATCCCACCATGATTTCTAATTAACAAAACAAAGCACTCGAGGTGTTCTTTAGGGTCTGCGCTTTATTAAAATCCAAACTAATCTATATGCAATGACGTGCAAAAAATGACATGCGATTAATGCAACCTAGCATGCGAACTATATGTCATGCGACGACGTGACCTAATTTTAATGACGGACAAATGATTTATTTTTTTGTAATTTTCTCATAAAATTCGGAATACAAAAATGTCTAAATTAACTTGCAATCTATCTTAATCTGTCATAAAGCGACTCATTTTTTTGGGATTTTCATGGAAATTCGAAATCTAAATATCCTAAATAATCCACAAAGATTAAAACAATTTCTAATTTAAACTAGGAAATATGCTACTCTAAATCCCAATTTAAATCAAATAATTATCTTGCTCTCTTGGATATATTTAGGATTCTTTAAGCATGCAAACTTTTAATTTAAATTCTAACTAACATATTTTTGGATTTTCTTTATTTAAAAAAAGAAAGCATTCAAATAAAGATAACAACCGCACTCAAACAATCCACTCAATCTGCAAGATTATTCTTATCAAATTTGGATTAGGAAAAGATATCAAACTAATGGTCATATTTATAGGGTTATAGATATCAACGGAGAGTTGATTATTTGAATTTGGAAAGCGAATAAAATCTATTATTGTATCCAAGTGATTATGGATAAGATAACGATTTTCCGTATCGCCGCGTATCGTACCTTAGGGATAAGGTCGGATAGTCGTCCAGATACGTTGCTAAATTAGGAAAAATTCCTAATTTTGAGTATTTTAGAACGTTGCGGACAAAGCAAGCATTATCCTAAGGTATCTAGTCAATCACGTAATTCAATCTGCAAAACAGAAATACAGGCCGGGACGGTGTAGGGACGCCACAGCCATGAAAGCGACAGGGAACACCGGGATTGATCGGGGATGGCGTCAGGTGGTAAAGCAAGGACCGTTCGCGGGAGTTGCTGGTCTCAGCGTTGTCACGGTTCCTTGGACTTGCGAATGGAACTTGATGATGGAGAGCGACGGATGCGTTCTTGATTTGCACTTGTCACGTTGCTCGCTCAAACCGAAATCTCCAATTGCTACCTTTTTTGTTGCCTTTTCTTCTTTGGAATTCCTTGCTTCAGATCACGTGGCCATGAATTTCTTTGACTTCATGCTCCTGACCTTGGCCGACAGGTGGTGATAACGGAACAAAATCCACTCCTTGGACTCACGGCCTTCAACCTTCAGCTTGGATAAATCAGTTTTCCGATGATGCTTGCTGGTTGGAGACACGAGCGATCGGACTGGACGTAGCGGCGAGAGGTGGGTGTCGAACTCAGGGACGGCAGCAGATCGGAGAGGCCACAGGCAGCGGCGTTGGGTGCAGAGGTGGTGGCAGCGAGGTGGCGCAGTGAAGGCGATGTGGTCGCGAGGCAACGCGACGGTGAGGCGGGCGCGGGCGAACGACTCTCTATCTTACTCTTGCTCTTGCTCACGTGTCTCTCGTGCTATCAGGAATTGTATTCTGGAAATTATGAGAACCCCCTTGATTGAGGGGTATAATCACATATTTATATCGCAATCCTAAGTTAATTGACCGGGCTTCCTAGTCCTAATGGGCTTAGGCTTAGGCTTTTATCCTTTAATTTTTATTTAATTCCAAATAGGCAGAATTAATTTGGGATTTTCTCTAATTAAGCTTGATGGGCTGATTTAAGCTCAAATTAAGACAACCAAGGCCTTTTAGACTTGTGATTTTCAGCCCCTGTCTTCCGAGCGAGACGAGCTTTGTTCGGTACTCGAGCTTGATTTATGCAATGGATTTTCAATTTACTCACTGCCGCCGGTCCGATGTTGTATGCAATTAAACTATATGATCCTAAACTATATGCTATGCGATTTTGATATTTTTGTTTAGAGGTTAAAATTTAATCCCTAATTTTCTATGCAATTAATCACTAAATGGTTAGTCAAAATTTAGGTATCAATACAAGTAATGCTAATACTGAAGAAATAGAAGATTTGTAAATAGATATATAGTGGTTTGGCTTTATCCCCAAGTCTACATCCACTCTCGAGACTAACATCCACAACAAGGCTGAAATCCACTAGTAATCTTCAAGAGAAGTTACAATCAGTAAGTACCGTCTTTCCAATAGATCACACTATCAAAATTCATGTATTGCTATTACATCTGGTACACTTCCTCTTATCACTGATTACAAATAGTAGCATCACACAGACATTGAGATCAGGAAACAACAACTAACAACAAAAACAGAACAAAGAAGAAGACTTAAAGCACAAGACTCATCCTGTTCGGTTCCACCCCACCTAATTACTTCTCTTGGACTCAATATATAGCCAACCATCTTCATATGAACGTTGCCCATCGAAATCCTCAAGTATCTATTGGTTCTAGCCGTTGCCAGCAATAGACCGTTGCCAACAGCAAACCGTTGCTAAAGATCGTCAGAACGGCTCTCTAACAGTGGTTGTTCCAAAGCAGTATCAATGTACTTTAGTCAAACTTGCTCATAAATGTCACAACTACTCCTGATCAACTTTGGTGATCTTTCTCTGAATTCCAAGCCTTTGTAACAGCTATAATCTCGAACATCCTCACATGGATATTCAAACATCACCAATGACACGATGTCTCAACCTCGATATAAACATCATCAATCAGCTGATCTTTAGGTCCGTTAGTGCTGTTCGCTAGTAAACGTACATGGACATCTTGCGATTTTCTCCCAATGAATCACACCATGGATATCACCTAGTCCTTAAAAATCATCACAATCTTCACCTCATCTATATGAGACAGCTACTTTCACCCGATATCGATACTGATCTTCCTGGTCCATTCAAGCTTATCGGTAATTTCGACTCTATCAAGTTGTTCATTTTCATGGTCCCTCCAAGTTTTACCAAACATCCTCATTCTAGACTTGTTCACTATCACT